AAAGAGGTTAGGGCTCATGTAACAATTTTTAAGATAAAATGTATTTTTATAAAAGTTATGCATTTTTGTTGGAAATATTTTTTAGTCAGTCCAGAAAACTACAAAGAAGGAAGCAAAGGTCACTTATATCACACCATCCAGAGGTGATTGTGGCGAAATTCTTCGTATATTTACACGTGTGTGTGCCTTTGCCAAATCAAAATTATATTAACTATTCAGTTTTGAATCCGGCTTTTTCTCTTAACATTGTAGGAAACATTCATCAAGCGGCTACTCGTGCCGGCTCCAGGCGCGTTCTGGCAACGCTGAGTGTGAAGTGGCGTCACAGACGCGACCTGCTGCAGAGGGGACAGCAGGGCAGTGGGCAGCTCTGGTGCTGGAGGCGCTTAGGGAAGTCTTCCCGGAGGAGCTGGATCTTGAAGGCTGTGGTGGGGATGGGGGTAGAGGTTGCAGGTGGGAAGGGCACCCCAGGTAGCAAAAACAGCAATGTAAAGACCTGAGACAGAATCTGAGGCAAGGGGGGGTGTCACTAAAGACTTTGCCAGCCATCCCCAGGGGTTTGGGCCTTACGTTAAAGATCCACTAGTGGTTAAATGGCAGTGGTTCTCAACCTTCCTAATGTCGCAACCCTTTAATACAGTTCCTCACGTTGTGTTGACCCCCAATTTCATTGTTACAAATTGAACATAATTAAAGCATAGTGATTAATCACAAAAACAATATGTAATTATATATGTGTTTTCCGATGGTCTTAGGCGACCCCTGTGAAAGGGTCATTCGACCCCCAAAGGGGTCGCCACCCACAGGTTGAGAACCGCTGTTAAATGGGGATAAACATTGGATTTGCATTTTGGAAAGATTGCTGTTTGTACACACTCTTTCATCGTGTGATGAGTGAATTGGAAAGGAGGCGAGGAGATGATTGGAGTCATCCAGGTGAGAGATGACAAAGGCCTAAACCAGAGCAGCAGCAATGAGAAAGCGGAATGAAGAGAAGAAGATGGGTTTCAGAAATATTTAAGAGGTAGAAAGGACAGGTGTTAATAGCTGACTCGGTGCTTTGCCATGTGACTTGTGTCGGCCAACAAGATGTTAGTGGGCGTGACTTAACCCGTATTTATTTATTTATTTATTTATTTATTTATTTAATATATTTTTATTGATTTCAGAGGGGAAGGGTGAGGGAAAGATAGGTAGAAACATCAATGATGAGAGAGAATCATCGATCGGCTGCCTCCTGCACGCCCCCCACTGGGGATCGAGCCGAAACCTGGGCATGTGCCCTTGACCGGAATGGAACCTGGGACCCTTCAGTCCGCAGGCAGGCACTCTATCCATTGAGCCAAATTGGCTAGGGCCAACCTTTTTTTTTTTTTTAATTAGTATCTTTTTTCAATAGACTTTTTAAAATTAAGGGAGAGGAGAGAGAGATAGAGTCATCAATGATGAGAGAGAATCATTGATTGGCTATCTCCTGCACACCCCCTACTGGGGACTGAGCCTGCAACCCAGCCATGTGCCCTGACCAAGAATCAACTGGGTTGTGAGCTCAATCGATTCTATCTTGGATCTTTACATTCCTGGTTCTTGGGTTGACGCTCAACCACTGAGCTACATGGGCTGGGCTTAACCAAAGTCTTGAAAAGTGCTGGTGCCATTGGCCTTGTCGCTCCTGTGCCTTTGTCCTTGTCCTGAGAAGAACATGCTGGGGGTAGTCCCCTGGGCCCAGGAGGAGGATGAGAAACAAGTGTAAGAGAGTCACCGCAGCCAAAGAGGACCGAGCCTCCAGAGGACTCGCAGTCTTACGATGGAAGTCTTGAGTCCCAAGATCTGCCAACCCATGGACACGTGAGCTGCAGATTTACATGAGAGTAGATTTAAGCCTCTGAGTTTTGGGATGACTTGTTCTGTGATGGTTGCTAACTGATAAGAAATGTCTTTGTTCTTGTGTGGAATGCTGACTGTGTGCCAGGCACGGGATATACAGTGCTGGACAAGGTCCTTACTCGCAGGGAGCTCATGTGAGAGTGGGGATGTGGCAAAGGAGCTAGAATGACGCCAAGGCTTCCGGCTGCTAACTGGGTGCATGGTGGTACCAGTAATCAGGATGGGTCTTAGGAGGATAACAGGTTTTGGGGAAAAGATAATGAGTTTGGTTTAGGAAAGGAACTGGAGGTGCCTATGGGACATTTAAGTGGATGACGTATCCAGGGACGAGTGGGATATGTAGGTGCAATACACAGGAAAGATGTCTGGCTCGGGACTGCAAGTTATCAACATGATAAAACAAAAAATCAGCTCGGCCAGTGTGGGTCAGTGGTTGAACATGGACCCATGAACCAAGAGGTCCCCCATTCGATTCCCGCTCAGGGCACATGCCTGGGTTGTGGGCTCAATCCCCAGTAGGGGGCGTGCAGGAGGCAGCCGATCGGTGATGTTTCTATCTATCCCTCTCCCTTTCTCTCTCTCTAAAATAAATAAAAACATATTAAAAACAAACTGAAAACCAGATGTACCAAAGAGAGACAGAATTAAGTGTTGTGGATATTCAGAGGAAGAAGAGAGGACTTGTGTCTGGGAGGATGAAAAAGATTTTGTTCTAAAGGTAACCTGTAAGCTGGGTTTGTGCTTGTGCAGGTGAGAGGAGAAAGGCACACCAGCACAATGGACAGGATTTGAGGAGGCATGGAGGTAAAACAGAGAGAGCTGGACTCTGAGAGTAAGGCTGAAGAAGTAGATTAAAGTGAGATCATGGAGAGCCTTGAATGCCAGGCCAAGGATGGTGTAGGGTAAGCATGTCAAATTCAAAGGCTAACACGGGCCAACTAAACAAGGTTTAAGTATATGTGGGCTGCAAAAAAGCAAAAGCTTCAATTTTCATAGAAATGTAGGTTTATTTTGATAAGACATGCTGAATACAAAGGGCTGGAATAAATGAGTGATCATTAATATAAAATAATAGAACATTTTAAGAAAAATTAATATTTTTTCTTGAACATTAACTTACCAGACACTGAATAACTGCACAAATTAATAAGCGTAACACAAATAAACCTATTTTTCTTGTTCTCCGAAAGTGAAATATTTCCTGTTGCGCACACCAAACAAGTCAGTACAAGACTAATGACGTGGCAATCAGCTGCTAAAATATTTGCTGCTAGTGTTAGTGGAGAGAAATAGTGCACCTGCGTGTAAGGCACATAAAGGGAAATGAATGCAACACGATTATAGTAATCAGTCATTAGCAAATGTTGTAGTTCATTATTAATAACTAGAGGCCCAGTGCATGAAAATTCATGCATTGGAGGGGGCGTCCCTCAGCCTGGCCTGCCCCCTCTCACAGTCCAGGAGCCCTCAGGGGTGGGAGGAGACCCGGAAATCAGGGGAAGGCGACACCCCCATTACACCTCTGCTGCTGCCACTGCCAGCAGCACAAGCCTCGGGCGGCCCTGGTTACCTGTGCCCTGGGCAGCCCTGGGCAGCTGGGCAGCCAACATCGAGGCTTGCCTGTGCCTCAGGCTGGCCCTGGGAGGCTGGGGGGCTGAGGGGACTGGGGGACTCCAGAGGCAGGCGTGCGGAGTGGCCAGGCCCACTTGGGGGCAGGCCCAGCCTTGCCTCACAACTGCCGCCCCAGTGGGGCTGAGGGGACTGGGCGCTGCCATCTTTGAGGGCATAGCAGTCAATTAGCATATTCCCTCCTTATTGGCTGTGGGTGCCACCATCTTTGAGGGTGTGACAGTCAATTAGCATATTCTCTCCTTATTGGCTGTGGGCGCCGACATCTTTGTGGCAGCGTGAGGGTCAATTAGCATATTCCCTCTTTATTATATAGGATTATATATAACAGGATATTGTAAAAATTAAGTTATGAAATTGTTATTAAAATGTTTCGTGCATACCACTGTATGGGCTGGGCCACAAAAATATTTGTGTGGGCCGCGTGCAGCCCGTGGGCTGTGTGTTTGACATGCTTGGTGTAGGCTTTCATTAGGAAATAAGCAGCCATTTAATGTTTTTGAACAGGGAGTGACACTAGGCACTCATGTCTGAGAGATGGAGAGTAGTTTGTAGTGGAGTGAGTTTTAAAGTCAAGAGATACAGATTCCAATCACAGCTCTTGCATTCACTGGCCCTGGGATATGGGCAAATGACTTCTCTCTGAGCCCTAACTATCTCTCTTAAAAAACAGGAGTAAAGCCCTGGCTGGTGTGGCTCAGATGGTTGGAGCGTCATCCTGTACACCAAAAGGTGGTGGGTTCCATTCCTGGTCAGGGCACATACCCAGGTTGTGGGTTCTAGCCCTGGTCCAGGTGCGTACAGGAGGCAACTGATTGATGTTTCTCTCTCACATCAACGTTTCTCTCTCTCTCCCTCTCTCCCTCTCTCCCTATCTCCCTATCTCTAAAATCAACGAAAAGCATGTATCCTCCAGTGAGGATTAAAAAAAAAAAAAAAAAAGTGGGAGTAAAACTGCCTGCCCTTCACATGAATCTTCTTTGGTTGTTGATAATCCTCACCCGAGGATATTTTTTCCCCATTGATTTTTAGAGAGTGGAAGCGACAGAGAGAGACAGAAACATCCATTGGTTGCCTCCTGCATCTGCCCCAGCCAGGGCCAGGGATCAAGCCTGCAACCAAGGTATGTGCCTTTGACCAGAATCCAACCCGAGACCCGTCAGTCCATGGCTCTATCCACTGAGCCAAACCGTGTAGGGCCACATTAATCTTAATTGTGTAAAAACCAATGACACAATGTGAATGAAAGTGCTTGGAAGACCATAAAGCAATGCATAAAGGTGTGTATTTTGTGACTAGGCTGCTGAAAGATGAGACTGGAGTTCCTAGACAGGTGGGCAGCCTGCAGATATCATCTTGTTAACCTCTGACCCTTCTCCCACCTTGGAGAGGGGATTGACAGCGATGCCAAGCCTGGTGTCCACTGGCAGCTGGCCCTGCTGGGATTCATGATCTCATACTCTGTATTCCTGTTCTCGATGCAGCCCTGGACTCCCCCATCCCACCATCCCCATAAACAACACGTGTCATTTAGAGAATGCCTGTTTGGGAGAGGCCTGTGCCATGGCTGCAGAAGAGAAGACCGGAAACATTTGCTGCCCTCATGGAGTGCACAGCCTACTTGGATCAAAAGGGCCTGTGCCTAAAATAGTAAATAGGGTGGCATTTGATAAAGGGCCAGTGAGTGGTCTGGACAGCTGCTGGGCAAGGGTGAGGAGAAAGCAGAGAGGCCTGAGGGCTGGGCCTTGAGGGCTGGGCCTTGAGGACTGGGCCTTACGGAAAGGAGGGGGAGGGGAAGAGAAGTGGAGGGGAGGTTCTCTCCTCTGTCAGCTCACTGGTTTCCTTTCACTATCGAGACTAAACACCAAAACCCTGCGTAAGGGAGCAGTTAAGGACAAATGGACCACAAAGAGCTACCACTTCTTACCCATTAGGATGGCCATCCTCAGAAAACCAGAAATAACAAGTGCTGGCAAGGATGTAGAGAAACTGGAACCCTTGTGCGTGGCTGGTGAGAATGTAAAAACGGTACAGCCACTATGGAAAACAGCAAGGCCATCTTCAAAAAAATAAAAATAGAATTACCAGGTGGTCAGCCATTCCACTTCTGAGTATATCCCCAAAAGAGCTGGAAGCAGGGACTCGAGCAGCATTATTCACAATAGCCAAAAGGTAGGAGCAGCCCGTTAATGGATAAATGAATAAACAAAATGTGGTATATCTAGATAGATGGACCACAATGCAGCCTTAAAAAGGGAGAGAAATTCTGACACATGCTATCATAATGGATAAACCTTGAAGACACTCTGCTAAGTGAAATAAGTCAGACACGAAAGGACAGATATTACATGATTCCATTTAAATGAGGTGCCTAGAGTAGTCTAATTTATAGAGACAGAGAGTGGACTGGTGGTTGCCATGGGCTGGGGAGGGAATGAGAATTCGTGTTTAATGAATATGGAGTTTCAGTTGGGGATGATGAGAAGGTTCTGGAGAAAGATGGCAGTGGTGGTTGCACAACAGTGTACTTAATTGTACCCTTAAAAATTACTAAAATGGTAAATGTTATATACACGTTAGCACACATGCATGAAAGACGAATATGATGGCTTGCTTAGAAAGATCTCAGAAACATGAGGAAAAGTGAGGGAAGAGATGGGGACCCCAGGGGGGCCTGGTGAGAAACCAGCGAGTAGCCTGGGAATGGGGGTGATTGATGGGCCAGGCCAGCTGACTCTCTCACTGACCACATCCAAAAAAGCTAGTCTAGGAAGGGTAGCAGACACCTTCCTCCAAGAAGCATTTGAGTAGTTACTCAGAGGAAGCCAGTGGGGTAGTTTGCTTTCTTCATTTCTCATGCCCACGGCTCAGGAATATGGGTAAAGTAATGACCATGGAATAAGGTCGAGATCATGGTTGTTTACCAAAGAGAAAGGCAGAGGCAGGTTTGACATCCACTCGGCCTTGGTTGCATCAGAGACCTGGACTGGATGGTGGGAAGGCAGCAGGAGCTGCTCAGCCCTCCCTGCCTCCCTCCCGCCTTCCCCCTCTCACCTGTCTCCTCTGTGTCCCAGCAGCTGGCTCCCGTGGGCGCCATGGCTTCCGTGGAGCCCCTGACGGCGCTGTCCCGCTGGTACCTGTACGCCATCCATGGCTACTTCTGCGAGGTGATGTTCACGGCGGCCTGGGAGTTCGTGGTGAACTTTAACTGGAAGTTCCCCGGGGTCACGAGCGTGTGGGCGCTCTTCATCTACGGCACCTCCATCCTGATCGTGGAGCGTATGTACCTGCGCCTGCGGGCCCGCTGCCCCCTGCTGGTGCGCTGCCTCATCTACACGCTCTGGACCTACCTGTGGGAGTTCACCACCGGCTTCATCCTGCGCCAGTTCAACGCCTGCCCCTGGGACTACTCCCAGTTCGACTTTGACTTCATGGGCCTCATCACCCTGGAGTACGCCGTGCCCTGGTTCTGCGGGGCCCTCATCATGGAGCAGTTCATCATCCGGAACACCCTCCGCCTGCGCTTCGACAAGGACGCTGAGCCGGGGGAGCCCGGAGGCCCCCTCGCCCTGGCCAACGGCCACATCAAAACTGACTGAGTGGGGGACTCGTGGGGGAAGGGCTGGGGTCTCTCATGGACCCTGTGGAGAAAAGTGCGAAGCTGGTGGAGTTGCCCCTTCTGTACAGCACAAGCCCTGCCTCACCCCAGCCTCAGCCCTGCGGGGTGCACACAGCCCCAGCCTCAGCCCTGCGGGGTGCACACAGCCCCAGCCCGGCCTCAGCCCTATAGGGCGCATACAACCCCAGCCCAGCCTCAGCCCTGTGGGGTGCACACAGCCTCCAGCCCTCCACTGTGGGCTGGTGTTGGGGGCGGGCTATCGAGGCAGCAAAGGGACTTGGGGGTTGGTCCGTGGATCTCACTCCAGCTCAGAAGCTTCACAGGGACTAGACTGTGTGGGTGACTTTGGAAGCAGCAGGCCCTGCCCTGGCTAAGGGACTCTGAGAAATGGGCAAAAGGCGAGAGGCAGGTCTGAGGAGGCTTAGGGCTGCTGCCTCGGCCACCTGGTTCCTTCTCACCTGGTTTAGTTGGGCTTTGGCTGGTTCCATTAGGCAATATTCAGGTGCTTGCTTGCAACCAATACCTCCCCGGGGGCCTGCTGAGAGACTGGGCAGCCAGGAAGCTGCTTGGAGCCGTGCTAGTCTGCAGGGCTGGGAGGCCTTCCCTTGGCTCCTCTCCCTTCCCCCAGGGCCCCACGCTGCTCTCTTGGCCTCCTGGGGGCCCCCTGGTGCTGGATTCCCACCAACCTTGGGCTTTTGGAGGTTTCAGTCCCTGTGCTTTTGGTGGCGTTTCCCCCCTTTCTCGCTTATTTTTTAAGGCCTTTACCACTATCAGCCCTTTATCCATGTCAATCACCCACCAACCCCCAACTCCCACTCCCCGGCCAACACAGCAGCTGCCAGAGATAGAACCCTGAGACACCCCACCGGCCCTCCGCAGCCTTTCCGCCACTGTTACCCCAATCCGGTGGGCTGTGGCAGTGCCCTGGTGCTCTTCTCCATCCATGCCCTTCGTGGCCCAGTTAACAGTGAATGACACCCACAACACACAGTCGGGCCAAGATGGGCCCCACAGATCCACAGTGGGGACCCAGAGACAGATCAGTGTGTGTGTGGGGGTGCCGTGGGGAGGGCGGTAAAGGCACGCCTGACGGTTCATTTTCAGTCCAGTCAGGGGCAGTCTAGCATTCTAGGGGATGGGGGAGCAGGATCCAGTGTTACATGCAGATCATGAAGAAGGAGTGAGGGAGACCCTCCCATCCTTGGTGGGAAGGGATCAGTTCTGGATCTGCCATAGCCCCATCCCTGCAGCAAAACCTCCTCAGGGCCCCCCCTCCCTACCCTCCCCACCCTCCCCAAGCACTTCGAGCTTGTTCCTCAAACAGTATTAACCCTGCCACGCTCATGGGCATTGTCATCCTGGGTGTCCATGACAGGTCCGTTGCTGGCAGTGGACAGGTGAAAACCTCCCTCCAGCCCACTTCCGGCTCTGCCCCCACTTGCCAAGGGGAGGGTCCATCAGAACACAGCCTTTCCCATGGTACGTGGTCTCTACTTGACCACACTAGAACTCTTAGGTAGAAATTAGCCTTTCCCTTTTTATAGAACATTAAAAAGTGATCATGCCACCTGTGGAGAGAATCTCCTCTTCCTTGCTGTGTTGCTCCACCCAGATCATGCAGACAGCACCGGGTCAGGGCACGTGGGCGGGTGTGGGCAGGAGTGGTGTCCAGGATTGGGAGAAGGGCGGGGAGACTCTGGCAGGGTTGCTCTCTGCACTTGACCTTGTCCAGGACGGGATGAAGGGCGTTTTCCAGCCTCTGTGTCCTGGGTAGGCTCGTCACATCCAGGCATGAACTACATTCTGCTGGGGCCAGCCCTGGCTTTGGTTTACCTGTGGCCCCAATTCTAGGGCTTCGGGGCTCTTAGGGGCTTCAGGCTGCCAGGGCGGGTAGATGGTGCTCCGTCTACAGCTGCAGGGGATTCCAGAGGAAGAACATTGCCTGGCTTCCCTGTTCCCTCGGGGATCCTTTCCTTGGTCCTCCCCTCCAACTCCATGCTATTTCAGTCTCTTGGACCCCAACACCCCCGCAGGCCCCCATGTGGGCTCCTAGACCCTACCACCCACCTTCGCTCTCCCCTTCCACGATGGCATCTGGTGGTCAGCTTGTTGATGTCTCCCAGCGTAAGGCCTCCACAGTTCTTGGCCTGCCAAGCCCTTGGATGGCCCACTGGATCTGGCCTTTCCAGGTGTTGCCCTGTGGACATGCCTTGGCACCAGCTTTTCCCTGTGCAGGAGGTCCTGGAGCAAGCCTGCCTCCCTGGCAACGTGCAGAGCATTGTGTTTCTGCTTCATGACGCCCCCTGCAAAGGGAGGCAACGAGCCAGGGCTTGGCCACAGGATGGGCAGGCTCAGTCAGAGCCCAGACCTCAACTCCTCCTTTATTTGGTATCTTCAGGGCCCCAGTTCCTTAGTGCCCAGGGCCTCAAGGTTTAGAGGAAGCCCAGCCCTGCCGAGCAGTGGGGGTGCTGGCAGAGAGAGTCGGCTTGCTGTGCATGAACCGCTGGTGTCCTGGGCCTCTCTGCTGGACATCGCAGCATCTCTGAGTTACAGATCGCCATGTGCTGCCCCGCATGGTTGGACCGCTTCCGTGTCTGCTAGGTGACCTGTCCCTCGTGCCCTGTTCCCGCGGATGCCAGTGAGTCATAATGGCATCGCAATGGCCTATGCTTATTCTCAGCAATAATACCGAGGGAGTGGCCATGAGTCCTTCTGTCCTGGTCCCTTGCCCTCTGCTTGGGTCTCCCGGAGAGGCAGCCGCTGAGTGGGTCAGTTCGTGAGAACCTGTATCTATGGAGCTCTGGGCTGTGCAGACGTCTTTGCAGGGGATGCAGGGACCCTGCGCTGGAGGAGCTACGGTAAGGCAGAGAGCTCACCTGGCCCCTGAGGCCATCCAGACCCGGAGGAGCTGCAGGTCCTGTCTCTGAGGCAGGCGGGACTGTCTCCCAACTGCGGCAGCTCCTCAGCAGGACACACGACTGGTTTGTGCGCCCACTGCCTGCTCTGTCTCCGTTCGTCTCTCTGTCTTTCTTTTCACATCCGTGCACATAAAATATACTGGTGTTTGTGTTCCAGGACTGGCTCTGACCCATGTCTGTCGTCTTCTATTTTGGAGCTCCTTCCCCAGGGCTGCCAGGAACCAGCCCCTTCACACCCGGGCCCACCCTATCCTGAACCCGGAGGGCTGCTGGGTGGGGCCGCCCTGGGGGGAGGGCAGGTGACACTACCAGCCAGTCCTTTTCTCTGTCTTTGCTCTGACCCTCTCTGGAAACCTGAATTCTCCACCCAACCCCTGATTGCCCACCAGGAGCATAATCTGGTCCAGGCCTTACGTTGGTCCCAGGATACAGGGCAGATGGGGAGAACCGGGTGTATCCAGGGTGGCTGCAGGTTGGCTGTATCTGCCCATGAGATGAGCTCTCGAACATGCCAGCCATGACCTGGGATGTCTCAGGGGGTGGGAAGGCACAGGGAGGAGGCTGAGGATGCCTCAGAGAGCCGGAAGCTAGCCTCCCTACTTTCCATTGTCTAACAGTCACACTTTGAAGACACAGAACTCTCCTGGCAGTGCTGCCTTCCCAGAGACGTGCCTTTGCAGGGAGCGGTCCCTCCCTCCTTCATGTACCTCTGCTCAATCTAGCGGCCTTTGTCCCTTCCTCCCAGGATTCTCCTGGCCACTTTCCTACTTCCAGGAAGAGGGTGGAGGGTTCAGATTTGCTCAGTCAGTTCAACTAAATACCCATGGCTTGACCCCTCCCATTCCAGCCCCGACCCCTGCCGCAGCTAGGCTGTAGCACCCTGGCTGGCTGTCTGGATGGAGCAGGCAGTGTAGTGTGCTTTCTGAATCACCGGGACGGCTCTCGGTCTCCCCCACTCACCTGAAGCTATTTATTTCTTTGACTGAAAGCTTCCCCCCTTATAAAAATGAGCAAGTATAAAGCCCCCACAGTCCTTTACATGTTAGTGTAAATAAACATATAAGGCCATTCCTTAGAGCAGGTTTCTATAGAAAGAAACTGGCAAATATAATGAAATGGTCCACGTATGGAACTTCAGAGAAGAGGCATGTGGTGGGGCTCAGAACAAGAAGGCTGAGGGCACTCAAAACCCTTCTTTAACAAAATTTTTTTTTTTTTATTGATTTCAGAGAGGAAGAGAGAGGGAGAGAGATAGAAACCTCAATAATGAGAGAGAATCATCAATCGGCTGCCTCCTGCACGCCCCTCACTGGAGACCAAGCCCACAACCCAGGCATGTGCCCTGACCAGGAATCGAACCATTAACTTCTGGTTCCTGGATTGACACTCAACCACTGAACCACACCGGCTGGGCTCAAGACCCTCCTTCTGTCTTCTACTCAGCTGGTGCCTTCCTTTCTTGATACTTTCCTTCCACACTCCCTTCACCCAATCCAGGGACACCTTCTGACACTATATTGAGGGAAGTTCTCTAGGAAAGCTAAGGTCAAGGCCCTTGGCTGCATCTTATGAAATCTGCCCAAGCTTTGCAAAGGCCTGATGCCTAATTAATAACAGTGAATGAATGACCACAACCTTGCCTTGCCTGCTGGGGGTGCCTATCTCAGAAGGGTGCAACCCAGGGACGGCTGTTTTGTGGGGAGGGAAACCGGTCCAGCAAAAGTGACCAACTCATTGTACTGCAGGTTAGAGGGAGCCGGGCTTAGTTTTAACAACAGCTGCGCTTCCTACCATGATGCCTCGTGCTGCCGCAGTCGCCAGGCTCTGCAATGAGTGGTCAAAGGCATTTGCACATTGTCTCTCATCAGAGGTGGGCACTGTTGGTTCCCTGTGTCACAGAGGAGGTCTGGTGGTAACCAGTCTGCAACCCTGATTTACCACGCCACTCTGTTTCAGCGTAAGCAGCAGACACTTCTGGGAGGATTTGTGATGAGTCAGGGTGCTCTGCTGTGCTTTGATGAGATTATGGATGTCGTTAGAGACCAAATGCTTTTCGCAGAGGAAAATTAATGTTTGAGAGGGAGAGAGTTGGGGTTATAAGGAAGAAGGTACAGGAGGCCATCTTAGCCAGGACTTTAAACAATTGCCACAGGCTCCATCTCTGTGGAGGGAGGGTTGTGAAATTTTGGCCTCTTGAAACCCTGGGCTTAGTGTTGAAACTTCTCCCTGGGCTTGTCCCCTTTGATCCTATTTCTATTACTTGAGGTTAAGGCTGGGCCCCTTACTGTAGGTATTCTCACAGGGTTTGAAAGTACCAAATGAAACCTTTCTCCTTCTGAAAGCTTTCTGATGGATCTGAGAATTGACCTGGTTAGTTCTTCAACTTCTTATTGGACACCACAGTGAGCCAGGGACCAGGCTAGTTACTGGGTGTGTACTGCTAGTCAGGGAGAAAGACGTTGCATCACTACAGTGTTAATAGTCCCCCGAAGGAGAAACCTCCAACAGAGGAAACGGACTGGTCTATAGGGATAGGTAAGGGTTCCCCAGGTAAGAGACACCATAGACCTGAAGGTCAAGTACCAATGTTTTCAGAGGTAGACTGGCTTCTCACTGTCTGGAAATGCAGACTTTGACTCTACCCTAGGAGGTGCCTAAACAGGTATAGTGCAAAGCACAGCCAACACCTAGTGGGTACCCTAAGGAACTCTTGATCAATGAAGTCCTATCAAGGGTCAACCTCAGTAAGCTTACCGTAAAGGCTAGGCAGAATGTTCCAGAGCACCAAGCCTCCTTTGGCACCTGAAGCTAGGAATCCTGTTTGAACAACCTCCCTTCCATATCTTTGCTCACCACTGTTGAGCAACTCACTGTCCTCCTTTCTCTTTCCAAACCACTCGTCTCTGCAGAGCCCTGCCAGCACCCCGGCTTCACTCTTAGAGTCTTTGGACCTTGGCCAAAGACCCAGCCCCACGGACTTGTCCATAGCTTCACTCTGGTGATACCATTTCTTGGTGTGGGAAAAGCTGCCCTTGGAGTGCCAAGCAGTGCAGAGAAGAAGGGTCCGCCGGTAGTCTGGTCTGGCTCCTTGCCTCTGTTACAATCACACCTTCCAAACAGAAAGGAAGTTCTCTGGTTTATAAAGGCCCACCCATGAGGAAGGTTCCTGAGAATGAAGTGTCTTTGTTTGAATGTAGGGCTGTATTAGTTTTCTAGGGCTACTATAATGAAGTACCACAAATGGGGTGGCTGAAAACCACAGGAACGTGTTCTCTCTCAGTTCTGGAAGTCAGAAGTCTGAAACCAAGGTGTCAGCGGGAGGCTCTGGAGGCACCAGGGAGAATCGGTCTTTGCCTCTTCCAGCATCTGGTGGCTGGGACACTTCCTGGTTTCCTAGGCTTGTGGCAGCATCGCTCCAAGTTCTGCCTCCATGGCCACATGGCCTCCTCCTCTTCTGTCTCTGTCTTCTCTTCTGCCTCTTCCTAATCCAATCCATTATCATTGGATTTAAGGCTCACCTACATAATCCAGGATGATCTCATCTCAAGATCCTTAATTTAATTACACCTGCAAAGACCTTTTTTCCAAATAAAGTATTTTCCAGGGATTTTATGGTGGACATATCTTTTGAGGGGCCACCATTCAACCCTCCATGGGGGTTAAGGGGGGTGATTTCTGCAGAAGCCCTTGCGTCCTGCACCCATTTAGGAATTCATTAAGAGTGAGAGCTGCAAGTATCGTGTGGAGTGACTCGAGAGAGAACTCAAGGCCTTAGGTTGAGGATGGAGCTTTCCATTCCAAGATGCCTCCTGTGGCTGCTGTGATTTTTCTGTTTAGATATATATCTGACCATTTCACCCCCTCCTCCAGATGCTTTAATGATTTCCCATTACCTTTAGGATCAAGCTCACCACCTTAGCGAGGCTTACACAGCCCTTTGCGGCTTGGCCTCATGTCTCGCCTCCCCCTCAGTCCCACGCGATCCAGGGAAAATGACTTGTTTTCCCACCAGCTCCCTGCTCACTGCCGCTGGGCCAGCAGCCCCTGTGTTCCTGTCCCTGGAACACTCTGACTCCTCCTCTCAGCCCAACTAGAGACCGAGGAGCTCGCTCACAGCCAGCAGCACTGGTTGTCTGTTTACTTCGAGCTCTCCCTGGCCCCAGCTCTCGATTTAGTTCAGCAAACTCAGGATGGGAGCTGTCTCCCTGGAAACTCTCCATGTGACAGCCCGCTAGCAGCAGGAGCTAAGTTCCTCCAGTGCAGTCGATGCAGCAGACGTTCATTTGCCCGTGCACCTGCCATGCACCAGGACCTGTGCTAGGCTTGTGGGACTACAGTGAACAAGGCAGACCCAGTCTCTGCCCTCCCTTCCCCTGAATTACAGGGTGCCAAGAACTGTGATGAGATGAGTTAGAGAAAGAAGAATTAACTTGATTTAGAGGGTCAGGAAATATTTCTATGTCTGGTATAGCCAGGGGACGGGGGAAGTGGGAGGAGAGGTGAAGAGCAGACCTCCAGGTAGAAAAGACAACACACACAAAGGCGGGGAACCCAGAGAGAGCAGGGCGCCCGTGGGTCTGCAGAAGCAGCCAGGGGTGAGTGATGGAGTACACGGGGAGCCAGGCAGGGAGAGACAGTTGATAAACAAACAGAAAATAACAGGCTGTATTGCCTTAGAGCAGAGTGATATGTAAGTGAACAGGGAGCTCATTAGACTGGGTAGCCCTTAAAAGGTCTTTGGCTCAGTGGTTGAGCATCAGCCTATGAACCAGGAGGTCACGGTTCGATATCCAGTCAGGGTACCTGCCTGGGTTGCGGGCTTGATCCCCAGTGTGGGCGTGTAGGAGGCACCCAAATTCTCTCTCATCATTGATGTTTCTGTCTCTCTTTCCTTCTCCCTTCCTCTTTGAAATCAATAAAAACATATATATATATATATATATATATATATATATTAAAAAAATCACACTCAGTGTCTAGCTCAGTGGTTCTCAACCTGTGGGTCGTGACCCCTTTGGGGGTCAAACGACCCTTTCACAGGGGTCACCTAAATATATCCTGCATATCAGATATTTACATTATGATTAATAACAGTAGCAAAATTACAGTTATGAAGTAGCAACGAAAATAATTTTATGGTTGGGGGTCACCACA